TGGGCTGGTAGCTGGGCGCCGGCCGCCGAGCCGCCTCAAGTGGGTGCAGCCTGGATGCTGCCTCCGGGGCGGCGGGGAGCCCGGGAGGCGGGGGAGGCGATGCCCGGCAGGGTCGGCGCAGTGGGAGCAGCTCGAATCCCCCCTTTCTCCGAGCCGCGGGCTCTGGGCTCCCGATTTCTGGGGCCGGGTTCGCGTTTCAGCCTCAGGGGCTTTCTCGCCAGGAAAACGCATGAAGCGTCTCCCCAGGATGATGGCTTTTGCTCCCCTAGGACTCAGCAGTTTAATTTTTAAGAGTGTTACTGATTCATCCTCTCTCTTCCTCTGTCATCACAGGTTTAAACTTACACGAATCGCTCCTGGAGGAGGAGGGGACCCGCCGCGCGACTGACACGCATATCCCTGTAGGCATCCTCCCTCAGCCTCCACCCCCACGGGCCGGATTCGGGTGGCTCCTCTCCGAGCTGAAATCCGAGAAGAAATCCTTGGATCGCTTTTCTTAAAAAAAAAAAAAATCTAGAAACCGTCGGTATTTTGCTTTGCTGGTTCCTATTTGTAAGATGAAGAAGTTTTTCGACTCCCGGCGAGAGCAGGGCGGCTCTGGCCTGGGCTCCGGCTCCAGCGGAGGAGGGGGCAGCACCTCCGGCCTGGGCAGTGGCTACATCGGGAGAGTCTTTGGCATCGGGCGACAGCAGGTCACTGTGGACGAGGTGTTGGCGGAAGGTACGGTGGGACTCAGCGGTGGGACTCAGTGTGCCGTACATTAAAATCTTGTGCTGATGCGGCAGGACTCTGCTTTCTAGCTGTTGAATGTATGAATGGGTTTTGACCAGTTGACCCTCCCTTCCCCCTTCACTTGCCCTGTGAGTCATTGTCCTTGAGAGATTTAAAACTGAGATTTGAAAGTGACAGGGCTTCTGGGGGTTGCCGAAATTGTTTACCTCAGTGGCCTTTTATTTTTTATTTTTTTATCTTCGGAAGCCATCCTCGCCAAATTTTGAGGATCAGATGAGAAAACATATGTGTGAAAGTGTAAAGGTTTACACCAAAGGCAGGGTGATGGGCTTGTCATCCTCCTAAAACTTGAAATATTGATGTGAAGCTTGAAGGGTGGGGATGGGGAGACCTTTAAGAAGAGGGGGGTTTCTCCTCCTATCCAACTTTCCCACTTCCATGAGCAAGCGTTGGAAGGAACAGAGGATTTTCGTAGAATGGCTTTGTGTTGTTACAAGAGCCAAGGCTCTTGGTAGATTTGACTACGTTTGTTTCCTGATCCAGCTGTAATCAGGTCCCCAGGATATAGCTAAGAAAACAGAAATTATATGAAACAAGAATGCGGTTATTTTGAATTCAATCTAGTAGGCCCCTCTTCCTCCCGTTGTAGTTTTTATTTTATTTTACTTAAGGATGGCTCTGATTTTGTTCTGTTGGAGAGGATGTTATTTAGATCTGCTTTGTAAATTCCTTCTGTGTGTGTTTCATCTGTATGTCTGCACTCATACGTATATCTTTATCCCCTAGGCTTTCAGGAAATCTTTGCATGTTGCTTTTGGTAACCTTAACCTCGACCTTCATGATTATGCCAGACTCATACTCTTCACAGCCCACTGCCTGCCTCGTGTGCTTTTATTTTTAATAAAAGCAGCAATTTCCTTGGCACGAAGCAATTCAAACTAATTGGATGGGGCTAACCGGCTGTAGGTTGTGTTATAGACAGAGAGGGGCTGGAGGAAGGGGGAGGTCTCTGTTAGTGCAACATGGTGCTGGTAGGGGACAGTTTATTAGCTGGAGAAGAGAGAAAGAAAACTAAGCAGCCTCTTTTAAAAAGGTTGTTTTGCAAGCTAAGGTTGAAACAAGGGTCCTGACTTGGACCTGGGAACTGCTTGTCATGGTGAGTGTTGCAGGCTGGTGGGTGGGTTGGGAAGAGGAAGAAGCTGTGTTTGGCTCTCAGCTTGTATAAGCTCTGGATTCAGTAGGGCCCAGTTTTCTGGGGATAGGGTTGAAGCCAGTACTTTAACAACACTATTTTTAAAAGACATCTGACAGCCAATGTCCTTGTGAAATAATTGCTCTTTTCCATTCTCAGTACTGCTCTAGCTGGACTTAGTCCGGGGCCTGAGTCACTGTCCCTCTGGATCCTTCCTTATGGGCTTTGGTGCAAGATGGGAGATGCTTCTGTGCCCGCTGCCAGATCCGCACCCTTGAGTCTGCTCTGTCTCTTTCATCCCTGTGCCAAAGCTCTTGACTGCAGTGAGGTGGAGAAGAAGAGTGCGAGGGAAAAATCAAAAGGAATGAGAGAGCACAGAGCTCTTTTCTCCCCTCTGAATGGTCCCACTGACCCTGTAGCCCAGGAGCATTTTGTTCAGATGGTGCTGGCCAAAGCGGTGCCTGGTCTTCAAATGTGAGAAGAGTGATGGGAAAGAGAAAAGACAAAATTGGTCTTTGTTATCTGGGCTGCCTTCTTCTTCCCCAGAATTCATCCCTGAGAACTGAGCATCATGCATTATGATATTTTAAAGTGGAATTTAGGGCTTGCAGTTCTGCGTTTATTCATTCAACAAACAGTTATGGAGTGCCTGTGATGTGCCAGGCACTGTGCTGGGCTCTGGAGATATGATAGTGAACTGGATGCTGGAGCTTACAAACTACTTTGAGAGATAGAAAAAAGCCAGTTATAATGGAGTGATAAGTGCAGTTGTGGAGATAAGCTTAGTGTGCAGCGACCCCCAGTTTTAGGGAGCCAGGATTTGTTTTCTAGAGGAAGTGACTCAAGAATGAGTAGGAATTAGTCAGTGTGATGGCAGCATGGGCAAAGTCTCAGAGTAGCAAGAGAGAATATTATTATGTAAAACTAGGTCTGGCAATGCTGCCCTCTTTGTGTTCTTTGGCTTTAATTGAATTTGAATTTGTGCTCCTTAGAAGTATGTAGGAGCCAGTATACTAAGTATTTATGTGGCACCAACAAAGTCCAAAGGCACTATGAAGTTTTGAGAGGGATGGCGGGGGGAGTTGAAGAATGACGTCTGCTTTTAAGGAGCTGCCAGTGGATTTGGGAAGACAAGTCATACAGTCACAACTACTGTAGCGTGGTCACCAGCACCGTGTGTTGAGTCAGAAAGACCTAGGTTCAAATTCTGGATCTGTTCTTACTAGTTGTGGAATCTGGGGCAAGACACTCCAGACGTCTCTTGAATGTTTCCCTGGGACAGAGGCTCTCAAATGGAGCCTGGATCTGGAGCATCCTCACCACCCGGGAGCTTGCTAGAAATGCAGATTCTCATACTTCACTGCATAGGCTGTGGGGGCGGGACTTAATTAGTTCTTTGAGAGATTCTAATGCAAGATAAAGTTTGAGAACCGCTGCCTAATGGGTGGTCTTGAAGATTAAATGAGGTAATGTATATATATAAACTATTTAACATTTTTCAGGTGTTTAATACATGGTAGCCATTATCTACCAGTAGTGGGCAGGCAGTTTAGGGAGGGGTGGTGTGGGAGGCTTCAAACACAGACTGGATTACCACCATATCCCACTGGTGGTCTTTGTCCCTACATAAATATTGGCCTATGCTTTTTAGTGAGCAGTTGCAAGAACCCCAAGGAGCAGGAGCTGGGCAAGAAAGGAGAATCCTGGGTTGCCATCTATCCATTGGTAGCATCAGCCTTTCTGGCCTGATTTCACTGACTAGTCCGGCAGGGACTTGTTTGAGGAGGTGAAAGTTCTAAGTCATGAGTTTAGAGGAATATGCCTATTTCTAGGCTGGGTGCCAGGGAGGATATTTTCTCTCTAGCTTTCTCAGCGAAGATGCCATGATGAGATGCTAAATCATGTCTAAGTTAATGGGCGTGTGATGTCAAGGGGAGATTTGGTATAAGCTTGCAGAATGAGCTCAATGGGAAAATTGAAGCAATATTCACAGAAGGACTGAGAAGCTGTGCTTTTATCACACTTCCCTTAGCTATACGTGGCCTTCTAGCTAAGCTTTAGATGATAAATAACTGTTTGTTTATTTAGTTTGGTGTCCAAGATAACATTCCAGAGCTGTATCAATTTTATAGTAGGTGGAACCATTTTCTTTTCTATACTCAACAATCCGGGTTTAGGGCTACTAAGTCTCCACACCAGTAAACTTCCACAGTTTCTCCTACTTACAGAGCAAGGCAATAAAGTTTAAAAATGTGCGTGACCCAGCACTTTGGGGGACTGAGGTGAGAGGATTGCCTGAACCCGTGGGTTCGAGACCAGCCTGGGCAACTTGGTGAGCCCTCATCTCTACAATAAATAAATTAAAAATTAGCCGGGCTTGGTAGCGCATGCTTGTAATTCCAGGTATTTGGAAGGATCGCTGGAGCCCATAAGGTTGACGCTGGGGTGGCCGTGAGTGTGCTACTACACTCCAGCCTGGTTGACAGAGTGAGACTCCAACTCAAAAAAAAAATGTGCGTGAAACCACCAAAAAAATTCACAAAAGGCATACTTCTAATGGGTTGATGGTATCAATATGATGCATGTATATATTTATCTAGTGAACGTTTGTTATTACTTCTTTGTGGCAGGCACTGTATTAGGTTCAGAAATCCTAAGATGGATGTGACATGCGCCTACTGCTTAAGGAGCTCAACAAATAACAAATTACCTTGAGATCTGAGATGAGTGTCTAGCACTTTGCATGACCCTTGGTGTATAGTAGATGGTAAAAGATGTTAAGAGATGACAGAGGCCGGGCTCGGTGGCTCAGCCTGTAATCCCGTGCCTTTGGGAGGCTGAGGTGAGTGGATTGCCTGAGCCCGCAGGTTCGAGACCGCCTGGGTAGGTGAGACCTCATCTCTACAATAAATCAAAAAATTAGCCAGGCGTGGTAGCGCACGACTGTAATCTGGCTACTCGGAAGGCTGAGGCAGAAGGATTGCCGGAGCCCAGCAGGTCGAGGCTGCGGTGGCCCGGGAGTGGCCACTGTACTCCAGTCTGGGTGACAGAGTGAGACTCCAACTCAAAAAAAAAAAATAAAAGAGATGACAGAGAAAGGGCCTTTGGTGAGGATTCATAGATAACATGCAGTTTGAACAGGAATGGAAACTGCCTGGCAGATGTTCCAGATGACAGTTACCCAAGACCTTCAAGGCAGAGAGAATATCATATGCAAAGGCATGGAGTGGTGAAACACTATGATGGATTTTGAGAATGCTGGCTAGTCTCGTATTACCATTTTGCTCAGTATGGGTTTCCTCCTCAGAACCAGGAAAAGGACAAGGAATAGTAGGCTGAAATTTTTTTATGTTTGCTCCCTGGATGTGCTTGCAGGTCACTTTCTTCAGTGGCCTTGGGTTTTGAATAACTATGGAATCTCTTTTAAGAATGCACTGCTCCCCTACCGTGCCTCAGCCCTGTGCTAATTACAGGGAAAGGGAGCCGAGGAAAAAGAGTGGTCCCAGAAGGTTGCATTAGTGGCAAGAAGCTTACAGAAGCAGGTGGGGGAGCTTGATGACCAGTGTTACAGAAAGACTTGAACAGGGGAGATAATGAGTATGTTTGACCAGAGCAGAAGGTATGTTGGAGAGAAAAGGAAGAAATAAGTTTATGGGAGAGCCTTGTGTACCAGGCAGAGAGATTAGTTTTAAGCACCTGAGACCTTCTCTTGACGCAAACATCAATTTGATCCCTCCCACTTCAGATGTCTTTGCCTGCTGGGAAGTATGGCTTTTTAGAGGCAACTGCAGATTTT